AACAGTCCTGGGTATGAACAGCACTGGGAGAGAGCCTAGTACCTGGTGAGGCCCAACGCCCAGAGCTGGGGGCTACAGCCCACTTCCATGCACCCATTCTTTGCCTTAGAATCTCTGGCAGCCATAGCCGTGATCAAACTGGAACTTTTGAGGTCCTTGGGTTGTCCCCAGGGGGCCTAGGAAGTAGGCCTTCAGCTGTGGAGGGCTACTTCTGCCAGCCCACTTTCAGGGCAGGCCCCCTTCTAACTGCCAGTTCCTCAAAGTTTGATTCACAATGATTTAAAAACAGAAAACAAACAGCCACGGTGATGCAAGCCTGCAATCCCAATGACACTGGAAGCTGCCACCAGAGGATGGCTTGAGCCCAGACACTGGGGGAGCCCAGGAACCTGGCAACATAGGGAGACTATCTTTAAAAATAAAATAAAATAGGGGCTGGGGATGTGGCTCAAGTGGTAGCAGGCTCTCCTGGCATGCGTGCGGCCCGGGTTCGATCCTCAGCACCACATACAAAGATGTTGTGTCTGCTGAAAACTAAAAAAATAAATAAATAATTTAAAAAATAAATAAATAAAATAATAAAAATAAGGCTGAGTGTCCTTGGTGCACGCCTGTCATCCTAGCCACTAGGGATACTGAAACAGAAGGATTGCAAGTTTCAGACCAGCCTGAGTAACTTAATGGGGACCCTGTCCCAAATTTTAAAAAATAAAAATAAAAAAGTCTGGATGTAGCTCAGTGGTATAGCACTTGCCTACAGCATGAGCCAGGCCCTGGATTTGATCACCGGCACTTTAAAAAATAAACAAGAAATATTTTGAATTCAACAGCATGTTTCTAATGGATATTTTACTGTGTGGAGAAGGGCAATAATATAAATGCAAAATAATATAAATAAGCACAGTTAGCAGATAAACGGTCAGGCTGTGTTGTCAGGGAATTCAGGACTGCAATCTAATCCTACTCTGCCAGCCTCCACCAATGTAAATTGGGATAATAATAACTGCTTCTGTCTCCTTGGGGGAAATAAGCACTAGCTGAGAAAATGCACGTGAAGTGATTAGCCCGCGGCCTACTCATTTTTTTCATAGCTGCAAAACACACACACA